TCAATATGTAATCTTGTGATTAGCCAGGATCCTGGGAAGGGTGGGGGAGATTAGTCAAACATTAAACTGGTTTCTTGCAATGAATCAGAAGCGTGTGTATTGTCATAAACAACACTTAACATTCAAGGTCCTATATTATCTAATCGACAAATGGGAAGTTCTCTTTAGTGCCCGTTTAATCATCGCATTGCATAGGAGGAAGGAGAAGCCAACGGCTTCCACTTTATTCAACTGATGAACCATGAGTTCATGAACCAGGAGATATTTGCAACTACACTACATTCTGGAAGAAGGGTAATTGGGCCGCCACTCAAATATATATAAAAGAATAATATATTAATATTATTATTATTTGCACATATATATATTTCATAAAAAAACTATATATATGTACTTAGAAAATATATATTATTAGATCAATGTTACATATTAACTATAAGTAAGTTATATTTTACAAATAATATACTTAGTTAGTAATTATTAGTAATAATTAACACTATACACATATACATATATATATATATATAGAGTAATTATAAACTTTCATAAATTAGAATAGAGTGTGTATATATATATATATATATATATATATAAGAATAATTTATTAATATGACTATTATTTACCTATATATATTTTAGAAAAAAAGACTATATATATGTTAATGAAATATATATTAATATTATTAAATATATAAAAATAATTTTATAAAATTAGAAGAGTATATATATACATTTATGTAATATTGTATAGTAGTTATTACATATGCCAACTTTGTAACATATTAATTTGATATACTATTAATATGATAATTATTATTAATAGTTCAATAATTAATATAATACAAAATAAAAAATATATATATTAAAGAAGTATATTTAATTATTGACATTTGGCTAAACTTTCTATTTATATATATAGATTATTTGTTACTTATAAGTTCAAAATTATCATTATGATATATTATAAATTAATATATGTATATATATATATATATATATATATATATATATATATATATATATA